CCTTACACTCTTTGAAGAGCTTTCCAATTTCTATAGCCAAATTTGATATTTCTCCGCTATTGACTTGCGAATAGAATTCACGACCACAAGGGGGTTTTCATCATTGCCTTCAAAATAGAAATGGTTTCTGTCCATCTAGATTTCCCAGATGGCAGTAGCTAAGTTTGATAGAGCAGAAATGTTCTTCCCTAAAGATTAAAAGCATTTACAAAACCACTCTCCAAACCCAGAGTAGTCTCTTCCAAATTCAAGGTTCACTCCTAAACCAGAGCCAAGCCACACACACCTAGCTTTATCATACAATAGAAGAGCATGGATAGGAGGTTCCGGTTCTTTTTTTACACCTTTCACAAAAGTTTGACGAGGTGATGCCTCTCTTAAACAAATTATCCTTAACAGCCAAAGCATTAAACAAACACTTTTAGATGAAAACTTTGACTTTAGGTTCAATGGGCATTTTCTAAACCAGACTCCAAACCTTCCTATCTAGAATGATATAGTGGGAGGATTGCGGTAGATCCTCTTGGCTTTTGGAAGCCAGAAAGTAAGCTGATTTTACTGAAAAAAAGTCATTCTTATTCCCCACCCAAGTCACTTTATCATCCCATTGCATAAGGGATAGGTCAATATCAAATATTTTTTGGGCTATAGAGGAGGGAAAGGTCTCAAAAACTTTCCTTCTATCCCAGCATCTATGGTCTTGATCAATGAGGTCAGCAACAAGGAGATTCCTATCTCCTTTGCTTCTAGGACCCATGGGCTTGAAGCCTTCAATATCTGGGATCCAAGGGTCATCCCAAATTCTCACCTTTCCCCCTTTACTAATTCTCCATAATATTCCTTTTTCAAGGGTCGTTTTGCCCTCCAAAATACTCTTCCAGCCCCAAGAGGGTCTGCTTTTTAAATTTGCTTGAAGGAAATGAGAATCTGGAAATTACTTTGCTTTTAGAGTTTTTACCCAAAGACTAGATGAATCTTGACATAATCTCTAGGCAAGTTTGGCCAGAAAAGCGAGATTAAAGAGGTGAGGATCTTTAATCCCAAGGCCTCTGGATAATTTATTCTTACAGATTTGCTTCCATTGGACCCATCTTATTTTCTTTTTTCCATCTTAATCCCCCCACCAAAATTGTTTTTGAGATTTGAAAATCAAATTACAGATGCCTTTTGGAAGTAGGAAGTAAGACATACAATAGGCCGGCATAGCAGAGAGAACTGATTCTAAGAGAACTTCCTTGCCTGCTTGATTTAGAAGAGACCTTCTCCAACTTTTTTACTTATTCTCAACCCTCTTAGAGAGATAGTTAAAAATTTGGCTTTTCCTTCTACCAATTAAGGGGTGAGCACCTAGATATTAGGAAGGTTTTTCCACTTTTTTAATGTGAAGACAACAAGATACCATTTTTTTTTAATCTAGGATTCATTTTTTGGCTAAAGAAAATTTCTGATTTGCAGTAGTTCACCTGTTGGCCTGAGGCTTTTTCATAGAAGGAGATGTCTTCCAATAAAGCATCCGCTTCTCTAAGATTAGCCTTTGAGAAAATATAACTATCATCTATACCCGCTATTACTGTGGCACCCCAACTTATATCCTTTCACTTACTTTAATTCATATTTTACAAAGTGTATTTTCACGCTTAAATAAATGCAAAAGTTTGCCAAACTACATAATGGACAGCAAGTATTAGTTCCGTAAACCACCAACCCAAGGTGGGGCATATGACTGATTAGGCTGTGGGGGTTGAACGTATATATGGTCCCCTATCGGATGAACGGTTTGGTCAGCCTAAAGATCCTACTACCACATAACAAAGCTTCCTGCTTGGCCCAATAGAAGTGATTAATAGGCTTCAGGCTTGGATTAACAAACTCAGGCTTTATCTCAGGCCTAGGCTAAGCTCTTTTTCAGACGGGGGGATGGGCCTCTCTTGTTATCCAGCCTGGCTCGTACTAAAACCAGGTTGCCTGGACCAGTCCACACAGGCTGTTCTGGATGGACCCTACCTTGTATTCCTATGCTCAGTCTAGCTCCTTCAGACGCCATCTCTTGTCTTGTAGAAGAGAACTGAAAATGGGTGGTCCCTAGAAACAAGCCTGATGACAACCCCAAATCCAAAACAGTAAGCATTACCACCAGGATTGCAAAACAGCCCAGAAGCCTCTGTTAAGCAAAAGAAAACCCTTCCCTGGAAAATTAAAATTAATAGTTTGCAAAAGCCATTAATGCATGGTAAGATAGAGCTGATAAGGATTTGCAGAAATGAACAGATGTCCAATTTAGACTGTCTCCTACCTGATGGCTTGCCCACATCATCTGTTCACATGGCTCTGAAATATGAGAGCCCCTACGAACAGTCTATTCAGGTGGTGTTGTACAATATGCAGGTTCTTGGTTTCTTCAATTTGTTTTTGTAATCACCACCAGCCAAAAAAAAATTTAAAAAAATGAAAGGTGGTCTTGAATTGTCCTTTTTTTTTTGAGAGGTGACCCAATAAAGCAAACTTCTATTTATGTTATGGGAACCCCTAAAATTAAGATACCCACCATTTTTTTTTTACTTTACATAGAGTTGAAAGAATTAATTACTAAAAAGAAAGGCTTTTCTTAAATTTAATTTCTATATCATTTAATAGATTAATTACAAGTCTTGTTTGATTTTAAAAAATTTAATTAGGTGTACTCTCGTCTCGAATTTGATCAATTAATAGAAAAACGTTAGAATATTCTTTGTGTGTGTGTTTTTTTTTTATTTTATTATTCTATTTATATTAGGTAAGGGGTTCTTAAACTTTTTTATTTTTTTTTTCTAAAATGTAGTACGGCGAAAAGAGACGAAGATATGAATTAAAATTTCTTTTCTTATCA